CACACCCACACCCACACCCACACCCACACCCACACCCCACACCCCACCCTCAAGCTATTTGTGATAAAAATTTGAATAAAAGTCAATGCAAAACATTTTATGAATTATGATTGAATTGAATTTGTCAATGAAGATTTGTTTATCCGGCGATGTTGAAGACAGAAACAATTTTGTATAATCAGCATAACGTTTTTCGATATCTTCTCGATTGAGACCAAATACATCAAGAGAGTATGTATGACGACCTTGTTTACCTTGAGGATTTTTGAGAAGCCAATTGTGAATAGCCATTTTGAATTCATTCGACCATTGAAGATTGAAATAATCATAGATTTGATGAACAACACCAATTGGATCCTTCATCAAATTGTCGTAACTAAGATCGAAAATATTTTTTTTCGTTTGATAAAGTATACCATTTTGAGAAGTTCAAAATTTCATTATACATTCGATTTGTGTATCGAAAAATTGACGAGATCGTTTTATTATTCTATCTCGAGAGATCGAGTTTGTGTTGTCGAAATACAATTCCGTACCTGATAGAGATAAACTACACAACGAAGGAAGAACTTCATCGAGATTTCGATGAGTCATAATTAATAACGCATTTTGATAAATTTGAAGAAATTTATCCAGACAAAAAATATGTAATGGTGATTTTAATAACCAATGAGATTGTGGCATATCAACACTATTTAACATACGCAAAAATATCTCATGATAATCATATGCATAGTCTTTACTTATTTCATTACAAATCCAACTTTCAGGATTGCAATCTTCATTGCCAGATATATGAGTGAATGTTGGAAAATAGCCGGCGTGACGTAAAATCTCATAATCTTCTTCAATTGGATAACATGCATGAGATGCAGCCATTTGAACCATGAAACCAGACAAGTGTTCGCTGTCCAGTTAAGCATTGGAAATATCAATTCGTCGGTTTTGTTCGATTGAATCGGATCGTGCTATAGGTGGAACAACATCAATACGCATATCAGTGTACAATGGTGCACGACATTTCGGATCACAGGCAAGTAAATTTTAGAGTAAAGTTGTGCCTGTACGTACAAGACCACAAACTACTAGAGGACCAATATTAGGTAAATTTTGATCAATAAATTTATTGTGTTCACTTGCATAATTCAGCACTTGTTTACAAATTGTATGCAAAGTATAAAGCTCGGATAAAAAAAAATTTCGACCAATAGGTGTTATATATTCGTTACGAAGTATACTTTGGCGGCATGATTCCAGGGAACGAAATATATCGCTGTGATAAGTAAAATTATTTTTGGCTTGTTCAGTTAAATCATCTTCGTGCAGAGTAGTATCATTCAATGTTGTTGAATGAACGTTATTCGTTTGATCGGATGTCGTACTCATTGGATTCAACAGTGATGCTTTTTTTTGTATATAACTAATAATTAAATCTTGCTTGTTTTTTATAAAAGCAGTGATACATGGACAAATACTAAAAAACATATCGACCTCAATAAGATAATATTAGAATAACTCAGTGCAAGAACTAGAGGGCAAATATTACCATTAGAGTTTTAATAAATATACTTAAAAAAAATAAAAGAACTTGCATACAGGGTGTGTATACTACGTTTTGACCAGTATAATCAATGTTCTTGTTTTTACATGTTTCGTTAGTGGAGCTGGGTGGTATCAACAGTACATATACTAGATATGTAAGTCTGTCATGTACCATGTTATGAACTTTCTAACTAGTATTTTTACAAAGATATACACAGTCTAAAATTTCAAGGAAAACTTTGAACAACAGTGTTGATCAGAAATTCAGCGTGTGTGAAAGTTTGGCTGGAGTTAAATTATTTTCCACGAAATTCGTACCAGAGATTCAGCTTGGAAAATTATGATTGCAAGAATGGAGTTACAATGCAAACACTACTCTTAACTTGGTTGGCGTCAATCTTATGCTCAACAAATTTCTTCACTGGATTCATTCGTCACTTTCAAGCTCGTTGCTACTTGCATCTTCGATATCTATTTTATCGAAATCTGCCAGATCTTTAGAGGACCTTTTGACCTTCAAACTTGTGTTAGAGATGCGAAAAACAACGAACTTGAAAGTGATAGGTGAATCCAGTAAAGAAATCTGTTGAATACAAAGATTGAGGCCAACCAAGTTCAGAATAGTGTTTGACTTGTAACTCCATTTGTTGCAATCATAATTTTCCAAGCTGTATCTCTGGTGCAAATTTTGTGGAAATTGATTTAACTTCAACCAAACTTTTACACATGCCGATATTTAGTTAGAAAGGTCACATTATGCTACATGACAAACAAGACATCTAGTATATACAATTGTTAATGTCAACCTTTTCCACTAACGAAACATATAAAAACAAGAACATTGATTACATGGATCAAAAGTAAATATGCACTCTCTATATCAGTTATCTTGTTTTATTCGTTATGTCATAAAAAAAAGAATTACATTTGTAAAGATACGATTATCAAATAAAGACAAAATTTACATATTTCGTGTTTTTTTCTTCAAAATCGAGAAGATCTATTTTGACAAACAAATATGTAACGATCTAAAATTGTTAAAATTTTTTTTTTCAAACACTCAAGCACTCAACTTTTGGTTGGTTGAAAGTACAAATCATTTCTTATTCAAAAGAATTATTTCTTTTTTTAAATAAATGACCGAATATTTTTCTCATAGTATCGAAATATGCCACAAACATTGATGGATTTTACTGATATTTCATAACTTCAATTTTATATCGACCTCAGATTAGTTTCATGAGCAGCAGCACTGTCAAATTCTGCATAGGCCTTAAATTTTTCAGATTGAAAACAAAAGAATAAGAATAATGGTTATTTTTTTATTATCAAAGCTCGAAAGATACACGTACATCCACCTGTAGTTGTATACTTTTGAAATGAATCGCTCTAGTGTTATATACTGAATACAAAGTTCATGTCATAGTGTGTCTGAGAATGAAGTAGTTAAAGAGCATACAATGGCCATGAATGTAGAGCACATAAATTCAAGTTCAAATAGAGATAAAAACTAACACATTTAGCTTAAAAAGAAAATGTTTCATACAGATAGTGTAAAATTTCACAAACCTTTTCTTGTTTTGCTGAGTGATTATGAATTATTTTCAATTATTGGGGAGTATTTGATTGAGGTTTTTGTTGCATCCTCCACCAATGCTCATTGAATGGAGAAAAGGAACTGAAAGTCATTAGAAGACTTAAGTTCTTTTTCTTTGACCATGCTATTGAATGGACAAATACAACATCTATCCCATACTATTGAAATAATAGAAAAAACGGAAAGAATGAATCGATAAGAATTAATGTCAGAAAAAATTCTCTTCGCCATCTATCTGGTTTGAATCAAGGTTAGTATTGCACGAATCTTCTGTCATTTTTACTAAAAATATTAGACGTTGAATACATTACTGAACGTCAAGTCGAAGAAAATAGGTTCCAGTAGCTAATCAAAGAGTTTCTTATGAGGATACGTACGAACCAACCAATATTATTTAATTTATACAATAGATTATGAAGTCTCCCACTATGACTACATAAGAAAATATTACTTCTATTAGTAGAAATTTCAAAACAAGGAGAGAATGAGTCGGATATAGACAAAGATTTTGTCATCACTGCCATTTGAAGAAGAGAGAATGAGGAAATGATCTATTGTCAAGATAATAATAGGATTTATTTCATACTTTTCGTATGGAACCTATTCTATGTAGAGTTCTGTTTTATCCAAAGAGTGATTCACGCTGGCCTTATTAGCTTTGTTGTTTGAAAGTTTAAAGCTTTTCCTAAGCATTTAAACAATCGATAGTTCATTCTGAAAGAATTCTAAAAACTTCATGCACAACCTTTTCAAGTGCATGTTTTTATACCCAATGCTATGTGAATGCTCCTCACCATTGAAATAAATGTCATCCATCAATCGTCTCGCATTATCATGTTGACTATGCTCTTAAAAAATGTGTTGAGTGCTTTGTATGTCTCTACATTACGATGTGAACATCGGGGGTGGGTGTGGGTGCGGGTTTGGTTCAACTGAAGACCGATACGCATAGCCACATCCACACCCATAATCCACACCCACACCCACACCCACACCCCCACATCCACACCCATAATCCACACCCACACCCACACCCCCACATCCACACCCATAATCCACACCCACACCCACACC